GCGGCAGTCAGAATGCAATTAAAAGAGCAGGATAGAGACCAGCCAAAGGCTGCCTGCCCGTTTCTCATCCCACCATCTCTTTCTCATACTTACATTTAATTTTTATGTAAGCATCACAGCCCAAGGACGACTAGCAGAGGACCAGGACCAAGACCAAGACCCAGACCAAGACCAAGAAAAGTAATAACTGCGCATTGCCATTATTTATGTTTATGTCCGCACTACATCATCTTCAAATGTCCGCGCGCCTCCCACGCCACCGCTTTGCACCGCCTTGCAGCTATAAAAAACAAGTGTCTGCAGTTTAGGGCAGGAGATGGGGTGTCCTAGCGAGATCCTAGCGATGTTACGGGCCAAGAAAAATACGATTTGATTTATCAGTCTCAAGTCGAAAAGAGTTATTGCCTAATATCAGTTTAGACTTGTCAATATGATCGATAAAAAATCGTTTGTGAAATTAATATCTTTTGGATATCACATAAAATAACAACTTTTAAATATTTATAATTTGTTTTATGTTTAAAAATATTTTTGTTATATTTATTTACATTTTAAAGATTTATTCCACCTATCGATCATCTTAATACCTTCTTAGAAAATTGTGTCTAATGCGACGCTGTATTTTAATATTAGATAAACTTATAAAAAGAAGCCTTCTCAAGAGTTATTGATATTTTCAATACCAATTTAATATATATATTTTTAATACTATCGCTTACTTAAGATTTAGCTATCACATCCCTAAGAGATCCCAGGATGAGTTGCTTGCACTCCATTCTTAGGCGACGTTTAACTGCCGCCTCTGTGAGTGCCGTTGAACTAATTTCCGTTGCCCTGCGGCAAAAGGATGGTTTCTGTGGGGGACGGTGGTAGGGATGATGCTCCACTGAAGTGGTTTCCAGGAAGGAAGTTGGTTTGCTCGACTCGGGTCTGGCTTGTAAAAATTGCATTCTTCGCGGCCTTTTCTATTGCTCGCGCATTTGTCATTGAGGCGCTCGCTAATTTGACATAAATTTTAAATGTTAAAATGTTCAGCTGGGGCAGATGAAATAGGATGAAGAAACCGGAAGGATACTGAGAGTTGCAGCATAAAAATATGGGTATCTTCTTAGGGCAGTGAGCTGGAGTTTTTGCTTAAAAAGAAGCCATTATATGTTTCTTGATAATAAAATAATAACTAGAGAGAATTATTTAAAACCTTTTTTTAATTTTTTTCACATATTGAATTTAAAGAAAGATAAACTACTCTGAAATTACTCTGACCCATATCTCAAGGAATTGCATTAAGTTCCCTGTTTCTTTCAAAGCAATTAAATTGCTATGTAAACTGCTTTGACAGCCATCAATTGAAAATAATCTGCACTTAACCTAATAACAGATTTCTGTCGACAAATAAGGTTCTTAAACTCCTTAAGCTGCTTTCCATTCTCTGCACTACTTCCCCATAATATTTTCCTTGCAACTCCCCCCACACATTGGGTTGTTGCCTTTTCTTATATTCTGCTCAACTGCGACTTCCACCCCTTTTGTTTGCTTTTCCAGCAATTGATAGAAATAGTTCTTTTGGTCAAATACTTGTGATAAACATGTTGTAAAGTGTCCGAATCGATTAGGTTTTATGGAAACCCCTAACTCCATCCCCTTCCAGGACTTGACCAGGCCAAGAAGCCAACCAATAAACTCCATGAACTGACCAAAAAGTTTTGACACCCGCAACGAAGGAAATCGATGGAAATGTTAGTTTGGCCCACTTTCTGCACTTGAAATATAAATTCAAGATATACAGAGTTTGACTTGCAGGGGAAAAATGTTTACAGAATGACAGCACTGAAAGAAAATTCAAGGTTATTGATAAAAAATACACATAAAATATATAATAAATTATAATATTTCAATAACCATAAACTCCTACATTCTCTTGAATTTTTCTATGTTCAGAAATTCCCCAAAAGAGTTTTGATTTTCTTTAAGATATTTCTTCATAAGGAAGCCTTCTCTACCCAACTCATCTATTTATTTTCCAGCCTTCAACTTCTCTCAGTGACTTGAAAAATATCATTTAAAAGGCATCTTCGATGTTGGACTACAAAAATGGCAAAGTGGACAAGCGCAGTCAAGCGATGTAAAGTTGCTTTGGGGTGAGCTGAATGTAAAATATGAGGGCGGGGGGGCTGTCATGAATGGACACACTATATTGCACATATGACAATACTTTGTGTATGGTCCCTTGTTAGTCTTTGACTTTGACAGTTGCTGCTCAAATTGGCGGCAAAAAAGGTAGCACAGAGCCAACGGAGGAGCTGAGCTGAAGAAAAAAAAAGAGTTGCTCGAGGGCCATTAAAGACTTCAGTTCGGGGCGGGGGCGTGGCAAATGAGCTGACCATTAGCCGGGGCATTCTGTAAACTCGGTAATTGAGTGGCGCTTAAAGATTGGGCCACCTCTTTTTCATCGTCCATTGTGGGGCGTTACACGTGCGTGCCAGTTAAACATTTTCCGACGACGACGACGAAAAAAATAAAACCTAAATAACCGCTAGTTAACTTGGCTTTGTCATAACTAACAGTTTGCTTTGCATTTTTTGTTCGCGGATTTTTTGTGTTCAAATTTTACAAGTCACGCACTGATTTGGCAATTTGCATGCAGCGACCGCTAGATGGCGCCAGCACGTGCTCACAGCCGGGGGGATTCCCCTTATTTTTAGCCCCCGCTTCTCTGCAATCAATATTTGATTTGGTTTTTCTACTCGCCTTTTTTGCGTGCGCACAATTTTTTAATTTAAACTTTTGCTGTAAATTTCATTTCAATGAGCTCGCTTATTATTGTCACCGCCCACCCGGCGTATGCGCAATATGCATGCAGTTGATATGGAAATGCCAAAAGGGCTTTGAGCTGGTTGCGTGGGATTCTCACCCCATCGATTGGCATTTTAGCCAAATTAAATATCTTCCAAATGTGTGTCACTGCCTGGCATCCCTTCTAAGGGCGCAACTTTCCATGTTCAAGTATTAATTTATTGCCAATCTAAATGCGAGGATAAAATGCACAGAAAGTGGGTCGGTTGAACTGCTCCTCTTCCTTTGGCTTTTATCATTTGCATGGTAAGTCGAGTTGGGTTTTTGGGATAAGCTGCAAAAAACCAGGGGAGTTTTGGGGATATCGAAAATAAATGGAAAGAGTTATGTGTAGTTAGTTCTTGAATAAGGTATTAAAATAATATTACATTGTTAACCTATGTCACTTGATATTTTATATAAAAAAACCTTTCCAAAATTCTAAATTCCACAACAATCTCTATTCTGTTTCCATTTTTATGACATTTTGATGCTCCTATAAGGCCCCCATCCCTGTCAATCGGTATCGATAACAGACGCTTCAACCTCAACGGTTACTTTCATTCATGTATTCATGCCACCCCCTCTGGGTCAGCCCCCTCGTCTCCCTGCCTTTTCCCTTCCACAAAACTAACTTTTTCATGCTCCATTGTGTTATAAATATTCATAAAGCGCTCCGCCATTTTTCGTGGCGACCGCCGAAACTAAAGCCTTGATTTCTTGCATTCTGCTACACACATGTGCACTGGAAAAAATTAATATGACTTTGTTAAATCTTCTCCGTTAATATAAATGCCAGTGTGGATATTCCTAAACAGCTGAACAACTGACAAAACATAAAATAAAAATATTTCAAAAAGTTTATTTACCTAAAACTGTCTTCATAAAATAATTTTCATAATTTTTATCTAAATTTTCTGAAATAGAAGTGCTATTTTTTCCATGAGACTATCTGTGTTACCAATACCTTACCAATATGGCTGAAAAACCCCCTCCACCTCCTATATTCTATGCTCACTCCCCCCTGAAATTGGGGCCACCCCTGCCCATTTAACCGCAAGCCATGCTTCTAATGCCGCGTTGGCATAAATTTAAAGCAGCAGCTGCGGTTTTTCCACTGCTTTTACTCTCCTCTTTTTGTGCAGAACTAGGATTTTGCTCTCTTTTAGCGGGAGAAAATAGAGATAGAGAGAGCTGCGGCGAAGAAGGAACGGTTACAGAATCTAACCCAGGTACGGCTTTAAAGCCCAAAAAGCATTTTATGCTGCTAATTGATTTTTCAAACACTCACACCACCGCTCCCACCGCTGCGGCACCCCCTCGATGTTGCGGCTGCCACTGCGCTTTTGTTTGGCATTCAATTAACGGGAATTTGCATTTTATCTATAGATCCACTTTGCCACAATATATATACAGTTGTTGCTGCCACCGGAGTGTACGCCGAGCGCCGTGAAAACAAAAATCCCAAGTGCTAAATCAACAAAGCCAAAGAACACCCAACGAGCGATAAAAACCCATTCGGATTCCTATGGAGTTTTGTCTTTAATTACAGCTCTTTAGCATTGATCTCCGGAATCAATCGGCCAGGCGCGAAAATAAGAAAAATTCCATTGCCATTACAGAAGTGTTTGTCCGAAGTGGAAGTAAACATATAAACCTAGATTCTCTACTCATCATCAACGGTTAGAGGGGTTGGCTGAGCTGTATGTGGTAAGCCAAGCTTAGATATGAGTGAAACTTGTGTAGCAACCCTCGGGGAGCGTTGCTTTGCCTTGCCAATAAACTGTGAACCTAACCTCGAGGGCATTTAAATGCTGATTAGCCTACTACTACTACTACTGTGGCGAACTCACATTGCAATGCCTAATGGCCTCACGGCAGCTTAGTTTTATTACTGAACTATCAGGTGGGTAATAGTGCATTAGGATTTATTATATATATTCTAAGTTCAAGGTGTTATTTTTATAGCTTACACAAATATTAACCAAATTTACTCCTAATTTGAATTTACAAATTAAATTATAAGGTCTTATACAAAAAAGCTCTTTTGCTAGCACAAAACTGGCATAAAAAAAAGCCTAAACAATTCTTGATCTAATCTTAATTAGCTTTATCTCTAGACTCTTGCTAGTTATCTAATCACTTGAAACCAAATCAGACTTTCTCAAATGTTTGAAAGCGAGTTCCTAGTTTCAGTTCCCATCAACAGTCCCTTTAAGATGGCAGCAAACACAAAACACGATGGCATCCACATCCGCATCATGACGGAAAAGGATTACGAGGAGATTAAGGAGCTAATTTTTGAGGACTACTTCACTGGCGTGCCCTTATGCTTACCTAAAAGTAAATTCACCACAGAAACAAAAGAGTTACTCGACGGAGTACATAGACACATGGTGGCCCAGGACACCTGCCTAGTGGCCATCGATGAGGTCAACAATGGACGCCTGGTGGCCTTCGCTCTGGCTGGAGCCCAGTTTCCGGAGGATTTAGAAAAACAACGAAACGAGTTAGACAGAATTCAGCCAGAGTTGGCTGTTCTTCTGCGATTTCTTCACGGACTAGAGTGCCAGGCCGGGATCTTCAAGCGATATGGAGTCACAAAACTTATATACTCGTGTTTTACTTATGTGAACCCCGAAATGAGGGGCAGGCGTTTAGGAGTACGCTTGGCAGAAGCTGTTATGGAACTTGGTAGATCCAAGGGGTTTCCCTTGATGACCGCCTGCTGTGTAAGCTTCTACTCTGCCAGGCAGAAGGAGGCCCTGGGAATGGAGTGCATTCTATCACAAAGCTATGCGGATTACAAGGACGATCAAGGACAGGAGATTTTCACACCTCCTGCTCCGCATAAAGAAGTTCGAATATTGGCTATTAGATTAATTAATAAAGAAGAGTAAATATCTTACACTTTGTATTTAAATTGGGAGTTATCAAAAAATAAACTATACCAAAGAGTATTTGAAAGATAAGATAGGTAAATATTACTACAAAATAACCGATTATTTAATAAGAAAACTCCAGTATTTGTAGATTCTTAGTAATTTAATCTTATCCCTTTCCTAACTCTAGGAGGCCTGTCATGATAAAAGATAATAGATACTTGTGGTTAAGTTATAATGATTATTAACAATACTAAATGAAATTATTATTACCAAAGTCACGTAGCTTCATCTCGAAAACGATGCGGAAACCCCAGACAGAGTAGCGCCCACCGTTTACACAGATATGTGTAATATCTAGATGGATCTGGCCTAGACTGTTAATGATATCGCCCCGCCTGTCCCTCTACCCAAAGTGTATGTGGTTTAATAACAATTATTTTCTGGCCAGCAGGTTCATAAAACTTGACGACCAGACATAAATAATACATAAGACGCAAGCAGCGGCAATTGCAGCTCCATTTTCGAGTTGAAGTTGAAGTTTAAGCTGGAGTTTAGGTCTCAAGGTCGCGTTACACACTGAATTTCTTGGCTGATGTATGTGTATTGGCCATAAATATCAATGGAGGAGTGGCCGCAGCAACCGGTTCTTCGATCTTGTGCATCTTCTGGTGCAGCTTCTTTTCTTTTATCTTCTGGTTTTTTCTCGCCCCGGCTCGGAGGTAACAACAAATTGCGGCAAAAACAATGCCCGGCGTGACATTGAATTGTAAATGCAGGCGATAAAAACATTCAACGTTGGACGCATAAAATATATACGCAGAAGAAACCGAAGAAGCAGCGGAGTAAATAAAATGTAAGCCGACATCCGATGCATGTGAATTTTTTGTTATGCTGCGCGAAAAACCACAGCTGACAGAGATGGGATCGTGAAGCGATTTTTGTTTTGAGAAAATATCGAAAAAATGTAATAATAAAAATTAATTACAAGCTAATCAGAATGTAAAAATTATAGAATTGTTAAAAAATTATATTCATATTAAGAAACGTATCCTTTTACAAATCAATTTAACCTCTTGAAACCCTGGGTTGTTTTTTTATTTTTAACGAATTTGGCTTTAGTTTTTAATAGTTTTTCAACTTTAAAAAATTTTCATAATTTTATATTATTATTTTCGGGAAAAATAAAAACCTAAAAATATAATAACTAAGCCAAAAATTCATTAATTTTAATTTGGAAAGCTGTTCTATGCTTCTTTTTAACAGGTTAACAAATCTACATACTGCATTTCAAATTTTAGGAAATCAAAATTTCTGGCCATTTTTGAAAATTTTAATAATGTAACCCCTTATCTTTTTTTTTTGAAAAAAAAATGAAGCAAAAATTTTTTCTCTGTTGAGTGTCCAGAAAGACTCGTCTGTTGATGCTGATCAAGAATATATATGATTTTTGGGGTCGGAAATGACTCCTTCACTGCTTTGCAAGATTCTGACTGAAATGATAATACCCTTTAAGGGTAAACAAAGAAATGTCTAGGAGCCTTGGTGCTCATCCCATTATACAACTATAAAAACTTACATCCACAAGCAATAACCAACTCTAGACTAAATTTTTAAACACCCTCCGAAAAGTCGCAAAAGAATGACTTACCTGAAAAGGCATGTTTAGAGGCTTGGCATTTCTCAGTCGATAGTCGTTTCACGTGCCAAAGCCATCGCCAAGGTCCCGCACATGCAAACAATGTTTACATTTGCAGTTCCCACTGTTGTTTGCCCTTTATCCATTGTGCATACACCGCCGCCCTTAAGCACCAGGCTCCCTCCCCTATTGACCACCCCATGACCCTTTGGTCAGCTGCTGCTGCTGTTGCTGCTATTGCTTCTTTGCCATCCTCGGCTTGTAAAAGACATTGACATTTTTTTCTGCTCAGTTGCTCCGCACTTCGTACTTTGTTGTTGTTTTTTAAAGCTTTTATACATATTTTTTCCCCGCAGTTGTTGTTGTTGTTGTTGTTGCTGTTGGCGGGGCATTACGTCACTTTCACTGTAGTTTGCGGCTTAAGGCAGCATTTGTTTGCCATCGCTGTTATTGTGGCCATTGTTTGCACTTGTTTTTGGTACAAACAAGCAAATTGCAATAAAAATGCTCAAATTTATGGTCCACTGGCATACATATATTCCGTTTGGTATGATTTATCCGAGACTTTTGTTCGCCTCTCGCTTTCCGGCGGCACAATTTATGTCCGTTTACATGGCAAACTTTTGCTAGTCACATCTTTATACTATATATTTTTTTTGTTGGGGCTTTTTTTGGTTCAAGTTCATCAGTTGGACCGATGAATTTGCAACTGAGCAACCGGGTTCCGTCTTTATCGTCGCCATAAATGCGTCGTTAGAGGCGTACAAATGTCTGTATCTCTGGCAGCGATTTGAGGCGTGTAAATACTAATCGTAAACCTGATTTACTCGTGGCAAATGTCAGCGCATATATTTAATGCTTGGCACTTGTTTTCGCTGAGCATACGCCGTGTGAGCATACCCTGAACACCCACATTACGCATACGACCTGTGAGCTCATGGAGTATGCCCACATTGTTAGGGCATTGATCGATAAGAATCGAGCGTCATTAGCCCAGTTAACGTGGCCTGACTAACCAGATGCGTAATGAGGCCAATTTCCCAGTTGCCAAATGTCAGCAAATGGCCAGTTAGCTTCGATTGAACCAAACTTACGGACAATGTGGCCCCTGCAAAGTCCGATTTTGTTGATATATCTTTCAGGTGTTTACAGCGTGAGTTGTTTCAATAAGTTCAAGATCCTATCCCATACATTCTACCTTTATTATCCAGCTTAAACTGCATATAGAGGAGTTCTACTCAAAGTCTTTTGTGCCCGAGGACATCCATTTGGCCTACGACATTGTTGGCTTTGAGAAAATTAACTTTAATCTAACCGTGGAGGTACCCTTTCCCGGCAAACTTCTCATGCACATTTTCGCAAGGAAGCTCTCGGATCAAGTTGGTGGCTCCGATCAGGTGGATCTTGTTCGCTTTAAAAATATGGATCTATGCAAGCTCCTCGATTCCCTGCGCAACATAACAGTGGAGGAGATCCCTGGCGAGAGCCTGCTGCCCTCCACTTTTGTTGTTTCCTGTCCCTTGGTGCCTGGTTTTTACTACATAAAGGAGAGTTCTGTCGATCTCAAGCTGGTTCCCTTCCGTATTCCCGATGGCCGGTATATGGTGCTAATAGAGTTGATACAGGTTTACGAGGAAGTCATGAAATTGGCTACCGCCAGGATCAAGTTTGCCGTGAGGCGACCACCGGGCTATAAGGAACCATCCTCTGATTTTGATAGCAATGATGAGGAGGGAGTAACCAAAAATCGTGAAAAAGAAAAGAAGGAGCCAAACGATGTAGAGGGGGAGAAGAAGGGACCTAATAATGAAGAAAAGGAGGAACGTAGTTCTGAGGTTTCTGATCCAAGCGAAAATAACAATGAAGCTGGGAAAAAAAAGGAACTTTGTTCAGAGGAATCAAGCGACGATAACCATAGGACTTCTACTGATTACGAATAATAATAATTATTTTTATTTCAAACTATTACAATTATTTTTAGAGGAAGATTCATAAGCAGAGATAACCAAAGATTGTCTATATATTCTTGTAATATTCTAATTAAATCATAAATTCGAGTAGGAAAACGATTATAACTAAGCCAAAAATTTAATAATTTCAACAACTTTTCTGCCAGTTATTGATTAAAAATTCATTTAAAATTAAATTAAATTATTGTAAATAATTTGATAATAATATTACCTTTATTAAACACACCTAGTTCCCACACTTTTTGCATTTTTATGTCAACCCCAACATAATTTTGTAATTTCTGCTATTTTATGCCGCCTTTCGTTCATCAGGTTCGGTGTGCGAAATACAATTTATGACCACCCTCAACAGATTCACCAAGATTGAGACATCTCACACTTGGCCAGAGACACGCCCTTACGGGTTAATTGAAAGGCCCAGGGGCATGGGAAGCATATAAAAACTTGAAAGACACATCGACTCGTCAAAGACCGACTCAAAGGTATTCCATTCAGGCTTATCTCTTGAATTGTTACACCAATGAACTCTGATTTGATATATCCATAAACAGCATATTTGTTTACGAGTTCACTCTATGGAATGTTTTGACTCACGATGACATTGTGTTTGATGGCATTCTCGAAAGTCCGAAGATTTACATATGTAGAGCGGGGCGAATGTTTCCGGTTTTCAGCTGCAAGATCGCAGACCACTGCGGCTACTTCCACGATGACTGGACAGAAATGCCTGGCCTCCGTGCCAGTCTTACGTAGCTTTTTGTGCTGGAGCCCAGCCCAAAATGGTTCCATCATTTAGCTTCAATTTTATTGACACACTGGTCGACTATTTAGGCTTGACGGCTCTTAAAAGTGCCAAATATTTATGGATCTCGATATACACCCTCCTCATTCTCGAGTGATAATTTATTTAATTGGCCCCCGACCATTGATCGATCAGTGTGAATGTTAGCGGTTCGTCTGAGGGCGTTCTTGAACTGTATTTATTGGGAATTAGTAAGTAAACTTCCTCCTCTGACGACAGTCTTCTTCCTAATTGTAAGCAAACACTGCTCTGGTGACCGCATTCGCGGTGACCTTCATCCAAGCCTGGTTTTCATTTACCCAGTGCGATTATTATTTAATCAGCGATCAACTTCTTCAGTGGCTTAGCCCCGGCAAACAGAAGATGCCACCAAAAGCAAAGTAAACAGGGCGGCTTGGCTTGGTTTCGGTGTTTTAGTTTTCGGTCTCGCAGCCGCCTTTAAACTACCTGATTTGCACGGACCCAAGAGACACCCGCCGCCAGCTGCCCCTTGGCTCCGCCTTTGGCCAGTTTCAGTTTTCAGCTTTTGAGTTGATATTTCCTTCTGTTCACCGTTTTATTTATATATGCGCCGGTCTTTTGTTTATGTATCGCTCATTTGTCTGCTTCTCCATTGCAGATTGCAGTTTACATATGGCATTATCATCGATGGCCACCTTAAGTCCGGCTATAAAAGGCCCTGATCACAGGTGGAGCGATGTGCAGTCGATTTTTGGATTAATCAGTGTGACATCTACCCGAGAAGTAATCATGAAGTACCTAGCTCTGGTGAGTCTTTGGATTGAATAAAGTAAAGGATACATACACATAAAAAGGATTAACTGAAAAATAATAAGAAAATCTTTCTTTGGGACAAGGAAATATATATTTTTTGATGTGGATATTTACTGATCGAAATATCACACCAGTTTATGATCACTTTTGAACAAGAACATCCTTCGTTAAAGTAAATGTAATCTATTTTGATATCTTCTAATGATTTTAAATTATAAAATATCATAATCTTAATGTAATATTTATCTTAATTACTTTTCCAGACCCTCTTCGTGTGCCTGATGGCCTTTGTCCTGGTATCTGCAGTGCCCGTGGATGAGTCCCTGATTGGAGATAATATCTACCAACCAGCCTTCGACGATGTCCAGCGTCCCCAGGATCCTCAGGCAATCTTCAAGCTGAAGAAGCTGCTCAAGCTGAAGAAGCTTCTGGGCTAGGAGGCGTAGCTCACACCCTTTGCCGGTGCCATCCGCCCGATAAGCTCAGCTCAGATTCTAGTCCAACCAATTGGGAACCTTGCCTCCCCCACAGCATTCAATATCAGCCAATTCAGCCTTTTTGTCAGAAAACCTAGATAATACCATCCATAATCACACACAGCACGCATCCATACATACGAATGAAGCCCACGTAATCGTAACCTAAAATAAATGTAATTTTCATACAACAAAAAGGCTCGTGCGAGTCGGCTTTTATTATGTCATCGAGACGGGGGATCTCCGAAAAGGAGCTAATGACTGGCGGCAGCGGGTCGAGTTTTTGTTTATTTAGATCTCAACGGGAAACTCGTTTGCGATTGTCGTGCCGGCGGAGAGAGTGTGAAAAGCGAGTGGTGTCCTCCTTACAGGTGGAGTATTGGCCAATACGCTGTCCTACATAAATGAAAAAAAGAAAATGAACTGGGTCTGCGATGTGCTAATTGTGTGCCATAGCAGGCTGGGGCATCCAAATTTATGGCTACGCATTTAATCAATGATTCCATTCATTAATTCTTTTAATTGGTTCTTCTAATAAAGGTCTTTAAAAATGAATATAAAACTTGAATGATTCAAAATACCTTGGATAATAAAAAATAATGAATATAATTTAATTAGTTCTTAATAATAAAATAAAGTTGCTAGCAACTATTTTATAGGTGGTTTATAATGCGGTTTGCTCAAATGAAAGGTGTTTAATCATTTTTAAAACATTTTAATTAAGAATCTTCATAAATTTCTGAAGATATAAGTGTTCTTGTAAGTAAATAAAATAGTCTAACCTATTTCTGATTTACTTTTAGTTTCCTTTTGGTTTACTTTTCTACGAAAACTGATTTTTTTTACTTTAAATAAAATATTTAAATTTTTTGATATTAAGTATTTTTATCAAGCTAAATTAATCTCAAAATGTTACTGATTTTGCTTGTACTTCAGCATTTCAGATTTACTTTCAATTTCTTCCTCAAGAACGTATTACTTCCCGTGTTGCCAAACAAAAGACTCAAGAAACGAACTTAGTAGATTTCTGTTACCAAATACATGTATTTTTATTTGATTTCCTTCTTTCTTCTTATCTCTTTCTTAAAGACCTAAACACATAGTTAAACTAAAAATCCATGAATGGGAAATGTGTGAGTGCGCTTAGCCCAGGAACAGGAGCTTCTTCAGCAGCTTCAGCTTGAGCAGGAAGGACTGATCGTCGGAGGGGTTGACCGACTCACTGCCAGGACCTTCCAGACCCTCGGGAACGGCCTCCTCTCGGGGAGCAGCACTGGTGGCCATAAAGCACACAGCCAGGCAGAGGAACACACTCTGTAAAGGAACAAAAACGGATGACGGATGAGTTGCGATGGCTTGATAGTCCTTCGGATTGTAGAGACGCACCAGAAGCAAGAATTTCATGTTGACTGGGATTTCGGTTGGCTTCGATTTGATCGATGATCTCGCACTGCGCGTTGACAGACTTGCTAGCACTGAACACCAGACCCCGCCGACCCGTCTATTTATATGCCAGTCCACCGGCCTGCGACGCTCGGCCGGCAGACCGCTCGTCTTTCACAGAAATTAAAACAAAAACAAAAAAAAAAAAAAAGAAGAAAAACGCCGGCACAAGATTCGGTGATTCAGAGCGGTGCGAGGAGCGGGCAATCAATCTGTTTGGGACTATTAAATGTGATTTTGGCCCGCCACGCATGTGGAGCAATAGCGATAACAAAAGCCAGACAAACTGTTGCGCCTGGGTCCATTTTTTGGCGCTTCTGCTACCTTTTTGTGGTTTCATTTGTCCGGGACCCGAGCATAATGTTTGGGCAATTTGTTGACGTGCGGTTTCCCCGGTATCTTCGCCTCCTTTTTTGCTAATCGGCGTTTCCTCGGTTCTGAGTTCTATTTGAGTAGGCCATTATGTGCGAGCGGATTCTCTGCTAAATATTAATTAGCGGCTTGACATTGGCCTTAACGCCGAGATCAGCTAGTAACAATTGAATTCACACCTGTGCAGGGGCGTAGAAAAAACTATTTAATCGATTGGGGGAAAAGAATAAGGGGGGTCTTGGGGATGAACTTCCAGAGCTTACCTTTTAAGAAATTTGAGGAGGATGTTTGGGTTGTAATCAAAATAATTATTTAATGCACATGTTTATATTTAGACAATATTTTAATAATACAATTTAAACCTTCTCGTGAAGTCTTTAAAATTGTTCATATCTTTAAGTACATGGAAAATTATAGAACAAGAATAATTAAAACTTTGTTTGAATACCAAAGATACGCTTCTGGAACAACCTACCAAATAACTTAAAAACTATTCGGTGGACACTCAGTCTAAATTTCAAAAGTAAAGAAAATCGAGAACAAAAAAAACGAAAAATTAATGTACAACAAGAAAAGAAACAAACTTCGGTAAGCCGTAATTTCTATACCCTTGAAGTTTGCCATAGAATCATGGAATCGAATCAAAAATCTATCATAACTAAGCTAAAAATGCTTCAAATTTAATTCGGAAAGCTTTTCTATGCTAGTTTTTTCAAGGTTGACAAATCTACATACTAAATTTTAAATTTTAGGAAATTCAAATTTTTTGCCATTTTTGAAAATTTTAATGATGTAACCCCTTACCTTTTTTTGAAAAAAATGAAGCAAAAATTTTTTTCTCTGTTAAGTGTCTAGAAAGACTCGCCTGTTGATGCTGATCAAGAATATATATGGTTTATAGGGTCGGAAATGACTCCTTTACTGCATTGGAAGCATCTGACTAAAATTATAATACTCTGCAGGGGTATAAAAAGCCAAAAATTCATATATAAAATAAATATATAAATATCAGGCCCGCACAATTATATATATTTTAATTTACTCCTCTTTTATAACAGTGTATCGTTTTAGTCAAGTTTTGAACCATATCTATAGAGTTACCGGACTTTTGTGTTTTTTTTTTTTTTTTTAGGGAGAAAACCAAATTTGCATCTGGGCACACTGACCAAATTAGACAATATAACTTAGCAATAAAAAAAAAGCAATATCCAAAAGCAAGTCCAAAATTGGAAGTCAACCCATATACACATACACACACCCGCCCTAACAAATATAAACGTCAACCAGGAGCAGTGCCCCGACGGAACAATGACTGGATCGTTCAGTGTGAAACTCAAGTCGAAAAAAGGTCAATTCATTGTCAAAGACCTGAATGAGAATACGACGCTCGGGGAGCTGAAACGGAAAATAGCCACTGCCACCGCAATCCAGCCACCCCAGCTCCACGTCCTGGTGGGCTATCCGCCCAAGCCCCTGGACCTCTCGCAACAGCAGGAGGAGCGCGACCTCAAGACCGTCGGCATCAACAGCGGAGAGACTTTGATTGTGGAGGAGAAGGCCGCTCCAGCAGCCGCACCAGCTGCCTTTGCCAACCTGGAGGACGACGAGGCGCTGGCGCGTCGTCTGCAGGCCGAGGAGGATGCCCAGCAGCAACAACTGGAGGCAGTAGCCGCTGGCGGCATTGCCTCGCAGTCGCAGCTCCCAGTGGCGCCCACGGAAAACGGGCCGAACGGCGACTTCAACGGCATCTTATTGAAGAAGGTGGTGCCGGCGGACAACTCCTGCCTGTTCACCAGCATTCGGTTCGTGCTCAACGGCAAGGTGGACAACGAGGGCAGCGAGATGATGCGCCACATAATCGCCCAGGAGGTGGCCGCCAATCCGCAGGAGTACAACGATGCCGTGCTGGGCAAGTCCAATGCCGAGTACTGCTCGTGGATTCAGAAGGCTGACTCGTGGGGCGGCGCCATTGAGGTGGCCATTCTGTCCAACTACTACGGCATCGAGATCGACGTGGTGGACATCCAGAATGCGATCATTAACCGCTTCGGCGAGGACAAGAACTTTGGACTTCGCGTCTTCCTGCTGTTTGACGGCATTCATTACGACCCGCTGTACATGGAAACGGCCCAGAGTGCCGCTCCCGCCACTATCTTTCCCGTAGAAGAGATGGGCGTGTATCAGCAAGCGGAGCAGCTGGCTAACGAGGCCAAGTCGTCGCGCCAGTATACCAATGTGGACAAGTTCACGTTGCGATGCATGCAGTGCGACGTCAGGTTGGTGGGCCAGGCACAGGCCCAGGAGCACGCCCAGGCCACGGGCCACAGCAGATTCGGAGAGATTTAATACGTCCTGATCGTCGGCACCGTCTACATTGTGGCTTTCATGCTGTTTGCCTACTACCTGCTCACCACCTAGCCACAGTCGCACTGATGCACTGACTCGCCGTCGCCCAGTTGCAGTGCGAGGAGATCCCGAGCCCGCAGTAGCTAAATTGTACTACCTCCACATTCACGCCTCCAAAACTCATTTAATTCATAGTCTTCTTTTATCCTTATCCCCTTTTCGGATCGTAATAAAGCATGCACATTCATCTACACTAGAGTGGAAAAGCATATTCACTGCCACGAGGAAAGCTGCGAGTACTGTGCGGGCTAGGAGGCCCAGGGCGGGGTCATCGCTGCCGGATTCTGGAGGTAGGACATCACCACCGCGCTGACGCTCAGCATGAAAGAGGAGAGCACCTGCTTGGCGTCGTCGCTGGCCCGGGAGCTGGCAAAGCTAATGCAGGAGCAGTAGAGCGCGAACCAGGCGCACCACTTGAGCTAAGGGAGGAACAATCGTAGATTAGATATGCAAATGTAAGTCATAACGCAGGCGAAGTACCTTCATCATCAGGCCGCACATTGAGAAAATCATTCCCAGAATGTTCATGTAGTCCGGCATCATGTCCTCGTTGGCGCCGCCGTTCTGACCCTGGTTCTTGGGCGCCTTGTAGCGGTTGATCTTCTCCTTGCGGCGGGGGTCCACGGTGATGCTCATGTTTAATTATTTAATTTTCACTAATTTAAGCTAAAACCAGGTCAGAGTGGCTACGAGGAATGACTTTGTTTACGTTTCGGGGTGAGTTGATGTGCTCGTTTCGGGCTGAATGGCACTTCGAAGCAGTTGGCAGCACCGTCAGATGGTTCTTTATTTACATCGCGGCTGCACGTTTGAATTGGTTTTTTTAATTACATAAAAATCACATAAAATTAAATCAGGCTCCATGGCCCTGCGGTTGCTCAGCCGCTCCTTGGCCACGCATATGCGTGGCATGCAATTAAACGCTACCAGGAGTGGAATCAAGGGATATAACTTCAGCAGTATCTCGGTATCCCCTGCCTGGACATGCCTAAATCGCCGGCTACATGTGCGGATTACGGACCAAGAGGCCGGTTTGCAGACCAAACGGGAGGCCAACAGAAACCACAATCCGTTCCAGGAAGAAATATTAGAGGAACTTCCATCAGAAGCACCAAAAAAGGACAACAAACGGAAAAAAGAAAAGCCGTCAAAGGAGAAGACCCCCGAGAAAGTTCTTAACTTTGGAGATCCAGACACTTTTGGCGATGCCAAGGTGGGCGAGAGTGAGGTAGAGGATCCTGGAGATGTCGAGGAGGAGGCTTATATCAGCAGGCCCACGAGGCATTCAAAGAAATTGCAGGCAGTGGAATACGCTCGCCAGATCAAGGATCACCTAAAAGCCAACCGCCTTAACGATGCCATCGCCGTGCTGGAGCAGCGAATGTTGCGCGAGGACCGCGCCAAACCGGACAAGTACATATACAATCTCCTAATCAGCGGTTGCGCCAAGGCAGGATACACCCGCAAGGCCTTCGCCCTGTACACGAAGATGCGGCAGAGGGGCCTTCAGGTGACTGGCGGCACCTATACCTCCCTTTTCAACGCCTGCGCCAATGCTCCCTCCCTGAGCGATGGCCTGGCCAAGGCGCAGATCGTCAGGGAGAACATGCTGGAGAAGGGCTATGAGCCGAATGTAAAGAACTACAATGCAATGATCAAGGCCTACGGGAGATGCGGGGATGTGGACACCGCCTATCTCCTGGCCGACGAGATGATGGAGCGGCAGCTTGACATGAATGCCGAGACATTCAATTTCCTGCTGCAGGCCTGCGCCAGCCACAAGGAGCAGGGTTTCAGACACGCTCTCCTCACCTGGCACAAGATGCTGCAGCGCGGCATCAGTCCGGACTACTACAGCTTTACGACGATGCTCAGGTGTGTGAGGGACTGCAGCTTTGGAGATCTGGAAGCGATGCGGGAGGTCATTGAACAGATTGCTCCTGCAGCAGCTCGGCAGAAACCCAATCTTCAGTTGGAAAATGGCAATAAAGATAACTTACCCAGTATATCTTCAAGTTCCTCATCGCTTGCTGCCCAAATAGAGGTGACCACGACTTCTAGCGAGCTGGAATTGCCAAATCTCCTTCTTCCGCGACCTCATCTGGGCAGTTTGGTGGCCTTGGAGGAGGTGTCACGCCCACATGAGCGGTTTCTCCTACTCGGCGGTCTGACTGGCTTTCTCGACCTGATGAAAGAACATCAAATCACGCCGGATATTGAGACCTTCACCACCATGCTAGATGTTATCCCTCCCACCAATGCCGCGGAGAAGCAGCTACTCACCTTCGTCCGCAAGATCGGACTCAAGGCGGACATCGACTTCTTCAACATACTGATCAAAAAGCGATCCATGCGCTTCGATTACGCGAGTGCCCGTGAGGTGCTTGCCATGATTCGGACGGCGGGTCTCCATCCAGATATTGTCACCTACGGAGTACTCGCCCTGGGCTGCCGCACGCAGGAGGAGGCCAGAGAGCTGCAGCAGCAGATGCAGGTGGCAGGCATCAAGCTGAATATGCCCATCTTGGGCGCCATGCTGTGGCAGGGCTGTGCCAATAAGTCCTTTGGCTACGTCAACGAGATCATGCAGCTGAGTCTGGAGGAGGGTCTCAAGCCCAACGAGCCGTTTCTGCGTCATCTGCACAACTTTCACAGGGGATGTGCCAGGGCCATAGACGCCAGGGTAAGTTTTTTAAGCTTGATTATATTCCAATCCTGTACAAATGGTCTTCTCTCCCACAGCATCCCTCGACCAAGACTGCCGCCTTTAAGAAGGGACACTCGAAATTCTGTGATAAGTACCGCCTGTACTACGAGGAGCTCGGCCTGACTGGCCTCAAGCTGGAGGATGCCATTGCCAGGGTAAAAGAGCGTCCCTATGCTAGGTACAAGGAAGAGCCCGTTGAGGGAAAGGAACCACTCAAGCACGAGCAGATCAAGCGCAAGACAAAGCTGCGGAAATACATCAAGAAAATCAAGATAGACGAACTGCAGGATGACCCACCACCCAGAGAGGCCTTCAAGAGGATAGAATAGGTTCAACAGTATAACACGCCCATTAAAGTTTATTATTTGTTAACCAATCATTGTGCGCTTGCGTCCCCTTGCTCTCACCTCCTCGAACTTGGACAGCACAGCCTCCTCGTCTTTGCCGCACTCCTTCCGATACGCCGCCAGGATGTGCTCGAACAGGAAGGGCTGCTGGCTGTGGGTGCTGAGCAGAGCGCGCTCCAGAACGTACAGATCGACGCCCTTGTCCTCGGTGGCCTGACTGTAGTGGCTCAGTCCGAAATCAATAACGATAATGTCGTAGTCGTGGGCCGTCGGGTTGATGAGCAGGTTCGAGGTGGTCAGGTCGCCGTGTATGATGTGGTTCGAGTGCATCTTGCCGACTATAGTTCCAATTCGCGAGCAGAGCTCCTGCAGCGTCGGCTTCGCCTCTTCCTCCAAATTTGCCGCCCATGTCCGTTGTATAAACAGCTTGGCAGTTGTTGCCTTGTCAAAGTACTCCATGTACAGCTTGTGGGTGTTGAGGTCCGAGTGAAGGATCTTCGGGGCCAGGATACCGGCAGCCAAGCAACGGCTTGCCGCCTTTGCTTCGGCCTTCATCCGCTGCCGCGTGATCTGTGTGTCCAGCTCGGGGTGGCGGTACTTCTTTACAAACCGCTCCTTGATCAGGCAGGACTCGCCCTTGAAATCGCCCAGGTATAGACGCCCCTCGGCGCCTTGCTTCAGGATTTCCAGGGACATTCTTTAGATTTAAATTAAAACAAAGTTCCGTCCGCCGGCGTTCTTTTTTGAGAAAGATTGGCAGCCCAAAAAGGTGTGTAGTTTAAGGGGGGTGTGGGGCCCACAAACCTCATGGAGTTTTGTTTACATAAATATATTATAATATAATTTATGATTTATTTAATTAATAAAAAAATTAATGCAATATTTGGAATTGTCTTTTCTTCTTAATTTAAAAAACAACTTTCAATAGAATCCCCAAAACTACGCCCATGGCCTAGAAATAGGCATTCACTGCGCAACGCACGCAACAGCTGACAGCTGTTTGCTGTTGTGATGTTTACTCCGATTGCGCCCAATCTCCGTGTGAATCATCAACAGGAAAAACCACCACAGCTCGTCAGCTCCGAGAGTCAGAATTTAAGGCTCCCAGCTAGCACTAAATTCCGAAATGTTCAACAATCTATTTGGCAAGAAGCCCACCGTGAAGGAGCAGCAGCGCGAGAACGATCGCTCGCTGCGCAAGGCCACCCGCGACATTGAACGGGAGCGGAGGAAGCTGGAGGATGAGGAGCGCAAGCTGGAGGCCGAGATCCGACGCAATGCCGCCGCCGGGAACAACGACGCCTGCCGCATCCTGGCCAAGCAGCTGGTGGAGATCCGGAAGCAGAAGTCGCGCACCTACGCAGCCTCCGGTAAGATCCAGTCCATTGGCTACCAAAACAAAAACATGGGCGCCAACATTGCGCTGAGCGAGGCCATGGGCAGCACGGCCAAGACGATGGCGGACATGAATAAGGTGATGCGGCCGGAGGCTATTGGCGAGACGGTGCGACAGTTCCAGGCGGCGAACATGAAGATGGAGATGACCGATGAGATGATCAACGACACTCTGGACGACATGCTCGACGAGTCGGGCGATGAAGAGGAGTCCAACGCCGTGGTTAACAAGGTGCTGGACGAGATCGGCATCGAGATTTCCGGCAAGATGTCCAGCATTCCGGCCACGGGCACTGCAGACTTCGAGACGAGCGGCAAGCGCACTGAGAAGGACATCGCTGACCAGCTGGCCAAGCTGCGCTCCTCCTAGTCGTTGGTCCCACTGAATTTTCATTGTATTTTTTGATCACTGTGAACACCGCTGTTATCCATAGCCCGTAAGGAAATATATTTATGTACATCGCTTAGAGACGCGCAGTCATTCCGCCGCCGGCCACGATGGCCTCGCCCGTGATGTAGCCCGCATCCTCAGAGACCAGGAACGAGACCACGCCAGCCATTTCCTCACTAGTGCCCAGGCGACCCATTGGAATCTTGCTTAGCGCCGCCTCGTTTGCCGACTCGTCCTCATGCAGCGCCTTGGAGAACTTGGTTTTGATCACGCCAGGAGCCAGGCAGTTGACGCGGATTCCCTCCGGCGCCAGATCCTTGGCGGCAGCCTTGGTAAGACCAATCAGAGCCGTTTTGCTCACCGAGTATGCCCCCAGCAGCTGCAACGATAAGAGAATTGCGATAAGCTTACGGACATTTGACCCGCCGATAAGCCTTCCCAGAGGAGACTAACCTCAAAGGCGTCGTAGCCTGCGATGGAGGAGACAAAGACGATGCTGGAGCCCTTCTCCTGGCGCAGCAGGGGCAGTGCCTCCTTGGCCAGCAGGTAGGAGCTCTTCACGTTGACGTCGAAGATCTTGTCCCAGACCTTCTCGTCACACTCGAGCACTCCGCCCACGGCGGGGTTGGTGGCGGCGTTGCTAATGAGAATATTGAGCTTTCCAAACTTGCTGATGGTCTCCTCAAAGAGCTGCTTCCGATCCTGGGGCTCGCTCACGTGACACTTGAGTCCATGGACATTTAGGTTCAGCTTGCGCAGCTCCGCCAGAGCGTTGTCCACGTTCTTTTGTTTCCGGCTGCTAATGACCACGGCGGCTCCGTCCTCGGCCAAACGCTTGGCAATGGCAAAGCCAATGCTGGGAGGAGATTTGGCTTATTATATAGGATAACTTGATGGTATATCGGGGCAATATCATACCCATCTGTGGAGGCGGTGACCACGGCTACTTTCCCTGCTAAGCGCTTCATCGGACCAACGTGCGAACTTTGACTGGTGCTGGACAAGCGCTTATGGCACTGGTTGAGATTAGGGCCAACAAGTTTCTGGCTGTAATTGTTGTTGTTTTGATCGAGATTCCGACCTGAACTTTGGCCACTTCCAGTCACAGCGGTTGTGCTTAAGCGGATCTTGGGCGCCCTGACCACCAGTTGCTTGCCCAAATGCAGCATTTTCTCAAGCGAAGGATTTAAGTATTTCTCCCGAGGATTCGTTGCCTAAGAATTGATTTTCCCAATTGGACTTGGAGATCTCCAATTTGTTTACAACTTGAACTGCTTCTTCTTCTTCGCTTCCCGCAAGTTGCCATTCACAAAAAGCTCTAGGATGGCGCCAGGTTTAAAACTGCTGGAAAAGTTAATCTGAGGAATTCTTGTGGTTGATTACTAAGCAGACTTAAAGTTATTTTTAAATATAGAATATTATTAAAAGATAATTTATATTAATTACTGTTGCTCCACTTAACCCCAGAAACAAGTCATCGCAAGATAAGAAACTTTGAAATGAAAATCTCCAAACAGCCAGATAAACGCTCCAATTTCGTAATAACATAAACAAAGATAAATAAGTATGACAAACAAACCGCCAAGTGAGCGCGAAGCTTGGCATAATGTAGTATTTCGTGTCCCAAGCATATATATGTGCATATATAGTGATTCGCCAAAAAGTGCAAATTGACAAGCGGACGGAGCAGCTCCAGCCACTGGGCCGGCAAATCTAGCTCCACTCCAGTGGCAGTCGTCGGCGGAAGCAGTCCAGTGTCACTTCTCGTGCAAGGTTCGTCTCCGGTTCTCCGACTCTCCGGTTCCGTTCGACTCACGCTAACGGCTTTTCGGTTCGGTTTTTCATTTAACTTTTCGCAGCCCTCGCGTCGGCCAGGCATGTGATTCGGAAAAGGCCCTTATGATAGTGCTAACTAAAGACCCGACTAACTAAACATAAGTTATATAAAATTAAACCCGATATAAATTTGAAAATAAACCAAGAAATATGAGCGGCGACCAGGCCAAAGAGATCGAGGCTGTGCCGCCCTCGCTGCAGGACTTCAAGGCTCCGGTCCTGCCGGACAACAAGCTGGTGCTCTTCTTCCATCCGTACAACTTCTACTCACAAAAAGTGAGTAGCAGCCGCCCGCTCTCTCTCTAATCATGTGATCTTCGAGCAAATTATTTTCCATATCCAAATCTCAATCAGCCAATGCCGCGAAATTACTAAATTAATCATCATCGTAATTCAGAGTCGTCATGGTTTGGTTTTTTTTTTATTTTTGTATTCGATGTAATGGCTGGAGGGGGATGCCCCCGCTTGGAAGGTCTCCACCCGCGCTCCCCAGCGGATGCAATGGAGCATGACTTGGTCGCTGGGGGCGAAGTGTATCGGAGCTCTCTAGATTTCGGAATAGACTCTAGAGTCTAGACTCTGGGCTTATGACAGCATAGGATAGATTTACCCACTGTTTACTCGGCGCTGCTGCAGGTGCTAATGAGGTGGATTGAGCGAAAAAGTAAACAAACCTGAAGATCTAGTATATCAACTGATCCAAAAATATTTAATAAAAAATTTCATATATTAAGTAGAGCCTTAAAAATATATATAAAACATAGAAAGGATTCTTAAGATATTTTCATGCCTTTACTTGGATGTATATTTTAGACTCTGGCCTAATCTCTCGTGACAAGGTCATGTGAAAGGGGAAAATTACTTACTTAAATAAGTGAAACAAAGCTATCAATTTCGATTTTGATCTAAATCACAATTTTATACAAAACTACAAATATATGTATGTTCATCTGAGGTTTGTTTTGCACTTTGTTTTTTATTTATTTTTAAATTATCATTAAATTAAATGCTACAAAAATAGCTGTGTCTAATTGTATGCATAACATTTATGCATAACTTTTATTGATTATGGTGGTCTTCTAGTAGTGTTGGGGGATAGCCAGATAAGTTTCGATTGTCAAGAGATACCTATTTCTGGAGTCAAAAAGATATGTTTGTCATTAAAGACCTGAAACAAGAGGGCAACGTTGAGTTTCTTGTATACATTTGAATATTTTTATACCCTTATAATTATAATTTTAGTCCGAATACGCCAAAAATAATCATATAAAATATTCAAAGATTTCCGGTCTTCTTGAAGGCTTTTATGATTTTATTTAGTGAAGCAGTCATTTCCGAGCCTATAAACCATATATATTCTTGATCAGCATCAACAGGCGAGTCTTTCTGGACACTCAACAAAAAAAAAAATTTTGCTTCATTTTTTTCAAAAAAAGATAAGGGGTTACATCATTAAAATTCTCAAAAATGTGCCAAAATTTGAATTTCCTAAAATTTAAAGCCCAGTATGCAGATTTGTTAACCTATAAAAAACTAGCATAGAACAGCTTTCCGAGGTGAAATTAGTGAATTTTTGGCTTAGTTATGATAGATTTCCTATTCGGCTCCTAACCCCATTTTAACCTGGAAGGACATACAAACTTTGTCTTGCCGAAATTAGCTTCCTTTCTTGTTTTAATTGATTTCCAATCAATTGGGAAAGATATCTAGAGCTGCATCAATTTACTTAAAATTATATTTTCTGGAATAAAGCCAAAAATATATGTAGAATATATTTATATTCACCGGCAAAGACATAAATAGTAAAATAAAAAGAATTAATTGTGTCCATTTCCCAGGTTCTTCTTGTTTTATACGAGAAAAAGATTGACTTTTTCCCCTACGTTGTGGACTTGTGCAATGGCGAGCAGTATTCCAGTTGGTTCCTGAACCTCAATCCCAAGGGCGATGTGCCAGTGCTGCAGGATGGAGCCTTCATTGTTCCCAACTCGACGCACATTATCAACTATGTGGAAAGCAAGTTCCGCGGAGGTAAGTAGCATCTATTAATTTATGCTTTCAAGAAACTGGTATAACATCTGATCTTTTCAGCTAAGCATCCGGCGCTAAAGCCCCAACAAAACTCCAAGGAATACGACCAGGTGCTGCTCTATGAGCAAGCGGTGGGCCGTCTGCCAGTGGGAGCGCTCAGTTTGGGTTCCTTTATACACGATGACCTGAAACTAGTGCCCAAGGCACCCTTCATAGGACCCGTGCGCCAGTCCTGCCTGAGTAGGTTACTCCTCTGGGCCACTATCTATAGCTCCAAATAACTTGTATCCCTTAGAGAACAACGAAAAGGTGCTGGACCTGCTGCGGCGCTCCGTGGAAGAGCTGGCGTCTAACAAGGCTGCGCTAAAGAACAAGCTGGACATCCAGGTGCGTCGTCGGGATCTGGTTTCCTCTCGCGAGGATTTCCAGCGTGTCCTAGACGCCGTGCGTCACTTCCTGCTCTACGTGGAGCAGGAGCTCTCGGCGAAAGCTCCCCGCAGTGAATGGCTGACCGGAGACGAGGTTACCCTGGCGGACATCTCACTGGGACTGCTTCTGCACCGGCTGTACCAACTGGGCTTCGAGAATCACTACTGGGCTTTCGGCAAGCTGCCCCAGGTGGAGGCCTACTTTCTGCGCTTCCGGCAGCGCGAATCCTACCACCGCCTGCAGCCGAGCAACTTTGCGATTCTGCGCGAAATGTGGATGCGGACGCCGGGCAACTACAAGCTGGGAGCGGGCGCCGGCTTCCTCGGTATGGCCATGTTCGCAGCCTTCGCCCACAAGTGAGCGGACACTAGACTTTGTTAACAAATCCTTTTACTGTTAAAGTTGGGCACATATAAACACACGAACATAAGAACGCTTAAAGCTACGCGCTGCCGATGAAGGATGCTGGGTCCGGGATCCCGAGATCCGATACGATCCTGGGGTGTGATGGTAAGGAGGAGGAGGAGGATGAGGAGCAGAACGCGAACCAGTGCCAGCCTCGAGCTGCTTAGTAATATCATCGTTTTATCATCATTTCATCGTCGCTGAATATACAAAAAAATTTGGTAAAAATTCCAATCCGTCACCTTATGCTTGTCAATTCCTGCTATGCTTGATGGCTGTGGCTGCCGCGGAGTTCCAATAACTCTGCTCAGCTGTCCAGCTGCTGCTGGTCCCTGTCCCGCTTGTTCTGCTCGGCCTGCAGCAGATTGGCCGCTGCACTGGCCGCCTTAGCGTTCGTGAACAGCGGCATGCCCATGAACGTGGGTATCTGCTGATCCCTCGGCACGCTCGTCGTAGACGCCGACTTGCCGTTGAGGTTCGCCCTGGAGGTGCTGGCCCCGGCGCTGGTGCCCCCGGCTGGCGTTGATAAATGCGAGGGTCGCTTGAAGGGGAACGTGGGTATTTCGCGCTGGTAGCTAAAGCTGCCATTGCCAGGCGCCTCCGGCAACAAACCGGGCGTGGGATACCAAAAGCGGTAGGTGAAATACCAGGTAAGGATCGCAATAATGCCGCTGATCACCTTCTCGATCATGCGGTGGTAGTACAGCATGGTGCCCACCAGCATGATGTCCCACAGCAGCTGCAGCGCCGCCATCCCGATGAACAGGGTCCGGATGATGGGCGTCAGGCGCTTGTACAGAAACTGCAGGCTGCGCATCTGCTCCTCGTTGAGAGTGCGCAGCGGATTCGTGCCCGAAGCCTCAGCGGAACTGCGGTTGTGCAGCTCGTTCCGTATATGCTCCTTTATCGTCTCCCAGCGGATGATGGGGCGCGCCTCCTCGATGAGCACCAGGCTGGAGTGGATCAGGATAAAGGCGTGACCGGATATGTCGAAGCCCTGCCACAAGTGCCCGGCCTTCAGGCAGCTGGACTTGCTCTGGTAGCCTGCAAGGATAGCATTGGGTTATTAACGGTTTCTTTAAAGGATCTCCTGCAAGGTATAGACGCACCCTTGGTAGTGCAGCGCCCGTAGGAGGTCTCCACCACGTTGAAGAGCTTCGTCCAGAAGAACCAGAAGAAAGTGGCGATGACTATGCGCGGGAAATGGTGGCGCAGCATCTTTTTATGATCGCCGCAGGTAATGGTATATGCGGACAGCACCAAAAAGGGCACTGCGAAGAGCAGGGTCCAACCCCAGCCCACCTTAACGAAGTACATGTTGAACAGGTTGTCCGAACGCGCAAAGTAGGTCTTCGGGAAGGGCACAAAGTCCCCGATCACGGAGATCACGAACAGGCTGCCCAGATACAAGGCCACCTTGAGGTCCGTGTTGAAGAATATGGTCTTCTTGCACAGGTGGATCACACCCATGACCAGGATCTCTCGGATGCTGGTGGGCGCCGCCGTGGGTCTCGTGCCGCGCGCCTCTGCCCGGGTGATGTCAGGCCCTCCGGGTCTGAAGTTCATATTCGAGCCGGACGGGGAGCTGGGATTAGAGCCTAGATTGGGTCGCAGGGGTCGCCGCTTGGTGGCCATCTCGCTGGGTGCCGAAAATAAAGCAGGCCAGATGGAAACTGCGTTGTTGTTGCGCTGCCGTTTTTGGTTATGCTGTGGCGGCGGCCGAAAGTGAAAGCGGAAGAATTGTACGTGTCAAAGTTCATCGCAAGGTTTCCAAGCCTTACCTGAGCTGCACCTGTCTGACACTGTTACCATTCCCTAGGCCAACAGTCTCGGCTGATTTTTCCCGGGATTTTCTCAACCCCTTCTTTGTTCCCGACGGTGATTTTGTACTTTTTATTTTGGCCAAAATGTACGTGTTGCGCCCAGTAAAAAATAGAACAGCTGCTGCAGGGGGTGAAGGCGTAGCCCTGCGAATGGTCCTTCACGGTGAATGGCCACTCGATCAGCTGTTAAAATTAAATTATAAGCTTTTGCTGCTTAATTGCCGGTTGATTAGGCGCTCGGCGGCATGTACAACTCGGCCAAGCAGCTGCAGCGCGTGCTGACAGCGCGCGAGATCCGGAAGACCTTCCTCGACCACTTCACCGTCAACCATGGCCACAAGTTTGTACGCTCCAGCCCGGTGGTGCCGTTCTGTGATCCCACGGTGGCTTTCGTCAATGCGGGCATGAATCAGGTGAGGTAACAGGCAGCCCAGCGGCTATTGTTGTCTTCTAATCAAATTTTCTTTGGTTCTAGTTCAAGTCGGTGTTTTTGGGCACGGCGGAGGCGCCCCACAAGCGGGTGGTCAACTCGCAGAAATGCGTTCGGGTGGGCGGCAAACACAACGATCTGTCTGTGGTGGGCACGGATGGCTATCATCACACCTTCTTCGAGATGCTGGGCAACTGGTCCTTTGGGGACTATTTCAAGGTGGGTCGAAACTCAAGGTTCTTTTTACTTTTAATAACTGTTTCTCTGGTGCTTTCCAGCGAGAGGCCTGTGCCATGGCTTTGGAGCTGCTCCGCGGTCCCTACAACATTGACCCAGGACGCTTGTATGTAACCTACTTTGCCGGCGACAAGGTTCTAGGAATTCCAGCCGACTTGGAGTGCTTCGAGATCTGGAGGAGTTTGGGGTACAACATGTAAACCCAAAAGCTTTAAGTTTGCTAAATTAGGTTTCTTTTCTACCAGCTTTCCCGCCTCTCGCATCTTGCCCTTCGGCTGCACGGACAACTTCTGGGAGATGGGCGCCACTGGGCCCTGTGGCCCCTGCACTGAGATCCATATAGACCATCGTCCTGATCTTGGCAGTGTGGAGCAGCGTGCCAAGCTGGTCAATGCGGGTAGAGCTGATCTCACAGAGCTGTGGAATCTCGTCTTTATACAGTACAACCGGTAGGGAGGAAGGTCACCTTGACTGTAATTACTTTCAACTCATAGTTATTTTATTTTAAAGCCTGGCAGACGGCTCTATATCGGAACTGCCCGCTCACCATGTGGACACCGGCATGGGCTTCGAGCGGCTGACTGCTTTACTGCAAAACAAGACGTCCAACTATGACACGGACTTGTTCACGCCCATTTTTGATGGCATACAGCAGGTGGCCAAGGCTCCGGCTTATGGCGGCAGTTTCTCGGCAGGAGCCTCGCTGGATACCAACTACAGAATTCTGGCGGATCACGCACGAATGGTCACCGCCTGTCTGGCCGATGGAATGCTTCCCGATCAGAAGTATGTTGTGTGTTTTGCTACTTTTTCCCAGCTAAACCCTCTCCAATTTCAGTCAAAAACTGCGTCGTGTGCTGCGAAAGGCTCTCAACATCTCCGATCATGTATTTGGTCATGAGAAGCTGCTGGCCCAACTAGTTCCTATTGTGGTGGAGACGCTGGGCGAGGCCTATCCAGAGATGTCCTCCCGCCAGCAGGCTGTCGTTGATCTTATTAACCACGAGCAAGAGGTGTACAACAACCTGCGCGAAAGTTCTTCCAAAGCCTTTGCCGAGGTTCTAACCGAATTTCCCAACCTGGATGACATAGATCTGATGGAGTGTCCCGGCTTTGTGCCCGCCTACCGGGAGTTTCAGGTGCAGCGCAGCAGGTTTCCAAATAACACCATACCAGGGGACTTTTTGTACAAGCTGACGGACACCTATGGCCTCACGGAAGAGAGCTTTCTCAAGCTGGCCGAGCTGGAGAACATGAACTGTGATCTGGAGCGCTACAGGGCAGAGGTTTCGCTGGCCAAGATGAAGGCCAAGAGCGGTCAAAGGGAAAACGGGGAAGAAGAAGGAGTACTCTGCGATGTGGTTAGTGAGCAACGCATTGCCGAAGCCCAGGCGAAGCTAACGAAGCGTCTGGCAGCCACCGACAACAGTCAAAAGTACGCCTACACCTTTGACAAGGAGAGCGACTCCTACAGGATTCCGCCGCTGAGGAGTCGCGTGGTGGGAATGCTTCTCAACGATGCAGAGGTGTCCCGGACCCAAGCCAGTCGTCTCCAAGAGCCCTCTACCGACATAATTTCCCTTGTCACAGCCTCTAGTAACTTTTACTACGAGTCTGGGGGCCAGCAATCCGATGAAGGAACGATTCTTGTGCGGAATCAGAACCAGCCAGAGCAGCCTCACCTTTTAAAGGTGATCTGCGTGAAGCATCTCAACGACTGCGTGGTTCACATGTGCAGGCTAACCTCCTCCCCCACAAACGAAGCCTTTGAGCTGGCCATTGGAGACGAAGTGGAGCTGCAGGTGGACGCCAAACAGAGGCAGCTCAACACTTGCCATCACACAGGTGAGTTACATTAGAGATTCCCTTTTGAAAATTAAATTAAAGTAATAAATAACCTTTCAAGCTACTCATCTCTTGAACGCTGCTATCCGCTCGCTGTTCAACAAGGTCACCTACCAGGTCTCCAGTTCGGTGACCAGCGATCAGTGCAAGCTCGAGGTGGGACTGCTGGGCAAGCGCATACAGAAGAGCGATGTCCAGCTCATTGAGGATCTAATCAAGTGAGTTGAAAGCCTGCTACTTGCTTCCTTGGTAGTAACATCAACCTTTCCCCCTTAGCCGCATCATCTGCTCTGCCACACCTGTTAAGGTGGAGCTCTTGAGTGCCGCCCAAGTCCTGCAGCAGAATGACATTACCATGGTGCCTGGGGAGGTGTATCCAGAGCAAGGACTGCGTCTAGTCAATGTGGAAAGCCAAGAGCTGCAGCTGAGCTCCAAAGAGTTGTGCTGCGGCACTCATGCCACCAACACCAGCGAGCTTTCCTGCTTCTGCATTGTCAATCTCAAGCAGACCAATCGGGCGCGCTTTGCCTTCACCGCTGTGGCTGGCCAGGCGGCGGAGAATGTGTGTTAAAGTCTCACCTGAAAGTGAATTCTGGTTCTTATCCCATTTTATAAACTTATCCCAGGTTCTCAAAACCGCTGCCTTGCTGCGTCATCGCGTGGATCTTCTCGAGAAGCAGTTCCAGACCGACAAGATCACCAATGCCACCGAGGCGGAGCTGCAGACCATCCGCCACAACATGCTGCACACAGATATCAAGCTGCCATATGCCTTCAAGATGGACACTTTGGAGCGTCTCAATGAGATGCTCAAGAGAATCAAGGACTCTTCGCGCACAACTCTGAAGTAAGATTGAAATGTTGCCTGTTTTCTAGTTTTCCTAAATCCAATTTCTTATAAAAGGGAATTTGTGGAAGTGGAGATGCGCAACCTTCTCCAGGAGAAGCCTCTCGCCAGCCACCCCTTCATTCTGCACTATATCACTAGCTCCGCCCTGGTGGAGGAAATCCCGCTGCAGCGTGCCACCAAACTGTGTCCGGATCGACCCATCCTGGTGGTCAGCATGTGCGACAGTGTGGTCAAGGCGCGCTGCTGCGTGCCAGCCAGTTGTATCGGTGACAAATTCAATGCTTCCAGCTGGCTGCAATCCTTCGCTGACACTTTTGGTGGTCAAGTGGCCTCGCCCAAGGGTCAGGATCATCGGTTTGTGTGCAACATGAAGGGCCGGAGAGTCAGCAATTTGTTCGAGGAGCAGCTGGAGCAGGCACTGGCCCAGGCGAACGCCTTCGCCAAGCTTTATCTGTAGGTTATAGCGCTAGTTGTGATTATATCGCCCTCCAAAAAGTGTGAGAGCTTAGAGCTTAGCTTTCCCCTTTAATGTTTTCTATTGTGAATAAAATGCGGAAACTGTTTAATCACTGATTACGATGAGGTCATCATCCTCGTCCTCTTGCTGCTCATTTTCTTGCTCCTCATCCTGCTCCTCCTCCTTCTCATCCTCCTGCTGGCTATCCTGATCCTCCTCTTCATCCTCATTATCCTCCTCATCTTCTCTTTCCACCTCCTCTTTGTTTTTCTCAATCAACAAACTGGAGTTCATCAGCTCCTCGAAGGCATCTCCCTGGTCGCTGCTTTGGTTGAAGAAGAAACTCACACTAGCCAGCGGCTTCACAGGACTTGGAATCCTGATGCTGAGGCGTTGCTTTAGCTTAAATCGCTCCACTGGTGTCCTGGCCGGCTCTATGATATGTGAGGCCTTTCTAGGATTTCCATTCACCAATCTATCAAAGCTGTCATCCAGGGAGAAACGTTTACTGCTCGGCGGCTGTTGCTCCATTTGAGAAAGATCTCTCTTAGTCTGCGCCTCCTCTTCGCCGCCTAGACTCATCTGGGCCAGCCTTAAACTCAAATCTTCGGCCATAGGCTCATAGTGCAACTGGTGTCCTTGGTGCTGGGTCAACAAAGCTGGTCTTGCCTTGGGATTGCTTATGATCCCTTTGACAATATCGGACATATTAAACTCTTCCTCGTCGCAGTCGCTTTCCAGATCAGAGGGCAAGCACTTGGTAATGGGAGTAGAGGAGCATTGCTGGCGCTGTTGTAAAGGAGAACTCTTGATGGGAGTTTGGTGGCTTTCCTTTCCACGGTTCAGGAATTGCTGCAATAAAGGTTGACCTGGTTCGGCGGGAGTTTTTTTCTTTCGAACAACTCGCTTTGGTTTTGGTTTCACTTCCTGTTCCGGCTCATTCTCCTTTTCCTCTGAAGCTGTTTTCTTCTTTCGCGTGGTTTTCTTGGGAGGCTTCTCCTTGGACTTGAAGAAGGCACTTACCAAGTCTGGAAAGGCCTGTTCCATCATATCCAAAGGCTCAATGGTGTAGAACAGCTCTTCGATTCCCTTTGGATGCTCCAGCTCAAACTCGGCCACCTGTTCATCGGGTATGAGACCCTTGAAACTACCGCTAGGATCATGCCATTTCAGCTCCAAGCTGGCCACTCCCTTGACCGTGCGCTTCTTAAGGATCTCTCGCGGCTCAATCAAAGCCTTTTCCTGCTTTGATTGCTGCACCTGCCAGCGTGTAAGAATGGGAAAGAACTTCTGGAAGCAGTAGATCTCCGGCCATTGCAGAAGATGCCCAATTTGCTTGATGAACTTGACGAGATTCGGCTGCCGCCAGTTGAGATTTATGCTAGGGATGGTGTCCGGTTCGCTGAGGAACTCGGCTATGATCTCCTCGTTGGGAAATTCAGGAGCTAACAAAGCCTTCCGGCGCAAGGCAAGTTCCGCCTTAATGGATAAACGCTGTTCCCTGGGGGGATGTTTGGTTTAAAAATATGTAAAAGATGACCCTCTCGGGATATGGCTTACTTCCAGAGGCTCTCATCGCAGCCTCGATGGGTTCGACACTCACTGCAGCCGCTTCTGGTGTGGCTTTGGGTCTTGCCCAAGTGCCCGCAGTTGCTGCACACAGACTTGTCGTCCACACGAATCTCGAGGGCATTGTATTTGCTGGTCTCCTGCCGCCAGTTTCGAAGCCTAAAAAGGGAAATGATCTGTGATCGAGGTATAAAGTGTTTCCTTGACTTACTTGGCCAGAATCTCCGTCTCCTTATACTTGTTGAAGAGCTTCAAGACGCCATCCTTGCCTATGCCACCGATGCCATCGGGACAGTAGTCACAGCCGCAAAGCAAAGCCATCACTATAATCTTGTGTTGACCAAAGTCCATGCGGGCTGTGATCTCCCTCATGTCGTAGATGTCCACAGCACCCCCAGACGCCGCCTGAGCTCCTTGGGTGGACACCGAGAAGTTGCGGTAAACCCGAACAGCTCCATAAGCAAAGCAATCCGAGTCCTGGCTTATGACGCCGTCAACTAACTTAAGGGAAATCGTTAAAAAGAGTTTATATTAACTGAAAAGTATATCAAAACTCACGCCATGCTTGTTGAGAAAGGCGCAGTAAGCCTCCGCTTCGCCTGGGCCCTGGACACACTGGATTCCCATAGACAGCAGCAATGTTTCGCACTGTTTGAGGACATGGTTGAACCGGGTGCGACCCTTGTCGCCCTTTGGAGCTTGGGAGCTACCTGCCGAGGCCTCCTTGGGTTTAACTCCCCGAAATTGCAGCTCATTCCGCTTGGCTATGACCTGGCTCTTGAGCTTGGGAGCAACTCCCTCCAAAACGAAGACGGGAGTGACCTTTTCCCAAATCAGATAGCAAGTGCGAAAGAATAGGTTTCTGTGGGGTTTAAAAAATATTCAAAATTAATTTAAATTATGTATAAATTTGCAAATAAACTCACTTTAAATGGTGGCGAGGATGCACAAAGTAGTCCACAACATTAAGCGACTCGCACACCCAGCCGGCCAAGTCAATGGCCACCTTCTTGCCCCGCAGCTCATTGATGGGCTTGCGTTCGGCGTGGGGCGTCAGGACAGTCCACAACTCCTTGACACCCATAAAAATTAACAAACAAACACAGAGCGCGAGAAATTCGCGAGTTTTTCAAACCGTTGCTTCCTCTTCCCGCCTTGGCCATTCACAACGAACCGCACACCGATAACCGATAGACGCCTTTGTTTTGACAGGCCGTGCATCCCTGCGAATGGACAGTGGTCAGCACGCTCTTCCTCTTCCACATCGACGTGTCAGGCGAAGAAAGTCCAAAATATAAAAAATATACGTTTTCTGCCTGTTTTCTGAGCCCCACAAAATTCAGAGGCTGCCAGTAGTTCATACCCCACGCCACCTACACACATACCACCAGCAAGATGGTTCTAGCGGACTTGGGGCGGAAGATAACCACCGCGCTGCACTCGCTCAGCAAGGCGACGGTCATCAACGAGGAGGCGCTCAATGCGATGCTCAAGGAGATTTGCGCCGCCCTCCTGGAGGCGGACGTGAACATCCGGCTGGTGAAGCAGCTGCGCGAGAATGTGCGCGCCGTGATTGACTTCGATGAGATGGCCGGCGGCCTCAACAAGCGCCGCATGATCCAGTCTGCCGTTTTCAAGGAGCTCGTCAAGCTGGTGGATCCCGGGGTGAAGCCCTACCAGCCCATCAAGGGCAAGGCGAACGTGATCATGTTCGTGGGCCTGCAGGGCTCCGGAAAGACAACCACGTGCACCAAGCTGGCCTATCACTACCAAAAGCGCAACTGGAAGTCGTGCCTCGTGTGCGCGGACACCTTCCGTGCCGGCGCCTATGACCAGATCAAGCAGAACGCCACCAAGGCGCGCATCCCCTTCTACGGCAGCTACACGGAAATCGACCCAGTGGTCATCGCCCAGGAGGGCGTCGACATGTTCAAGCGCGAGGGCTTCGAGATGATTATCGTGGACACATCGGGTCGGCACAAGCAGGAGGAGTCGCTGTTCGAGGAGATGTTGGCGGTGTCGAATGCCGTCAGTCCCGACAATATTATATTCGTGATGGACGCCACCATTGGGCAGGCTTGTGAGGCCCAGGCGAAGGCCTTCAAGGACAAGGTGGACATCGGTTCGGTGATCATCACCAAGTTGGACGGCCATGCCAAGGGAGGAGGTGCCTTGTCAGCCGTGGCTGCCACTCAGTCGCCAATCATTTTCATCGGCACGGGCGAGCACATCGATGACCTGGAGCCTTTTAAGACGAAACCCTTTGTGAGCAAGCTGCTCGGCATGGGCGACATCGAGGGTCTGATAGATAAGGTGAGGCGGGGTAAGCAATCTGGACTTGGAATCCAATTTTAACTCTTCTGATTTTCAGGTCAATGAGCTGAAGCTGGACGGCAACGAGGAGCTCCTCGAGAAGATCAAGCACGGCCACTTCACCATCCGTGACATGTACGAACAGTTCCAGAACATCATGAAGATGGGTCCTTTTTCGCAGATCATGAACATGATACCCGGCTTCTCGCAGGACTTCATGACCAAGGGCGGTGAACAGGAGTCGATGGCGAGAATCAAGCGCATGATGACCATGATGGACAGCATGTCGGACAACGAACTGGACAACCGAGACGGAGCGAAGCTGTTCAGTAAGCAGCCCAACCGCAGCATTCGCGTGGCCCAAGGCGCTGGCGTCCTGGAGCGCGAGGTCAAGGAGCTGATTGCCCACTACACCAAGTTTGCGGCGGTGGTGAAGAAGATGGGCGGCGTCAAGGGCCTGTTCAAGCAGGGCGATATGACCAAGAACGTGAATCCCAACCAGATGGCCAAGCTCAACCAGCAGATGGCCAAGATGATCGATCCGCGAATGCTGCAGCAGATGGGCGGCGTGGGCGGTCTCCAGAACATGATGCGACAGCTCCAGCAGGGAGCGGCGGGCGGACTGGGCGGCCTGGGGAACCTGATGGGAGGCTTCGGCGGCAAGTGAGCCAGCTGATAATGGTGTGTAAATTTAACGATTTTTATATATGATTTTGTTTCCGCGTAGTTCGTAATTTGTTAGCCATTGTTTCCATTTGTCCAAGGCCACAAAAATTGATATCGGATGTGGGACCGAATATAGCGTATAGCGAATATAGCCTATGTCCAAACAGTTAACAAATTCGGTTTTGTACGGCTCCACAGCAGCCACAGTGTCAGTTTTTATAGTTTAAACAGTTTTCTGTACACGAACTAATGGAATTTGCATATGCCTATCAGAAAACCCGAATGGCAGTTGAACTAGATATAAAACAATAAATAAATATAAATTGAAACTGGCATAACATGTCTTGTTTTAATTTGTAATGGGATTTACAAGGATGGTCTTGCTTTGCAATACTTAAAAAATATATGAAATTAACGCCGTGTATATTTTTAAAATTGCCTACATTTAGGCTGTCCCAAAATATATATTTGGTGCTTCAAATTAGCAGTTGGTTACACATTTTTTAGGATTGGGTTTTAAAATAATATATAAAATTTAAGATAACTATTTAAATTAAATTCAGTAAGCAGATTTGTTAACCTTAGAAAAACTAACTCAGAGCAGCTTTCCGAATTGAAATTAATGCATTTTTGCCTTAGTTATGGATTATTAATATTTGGTTTGTTTTCCAAAGTTAATCAAACAATATACCAAGCGGTTTTTCAAAAATTAAGAATTAATTAATAAAATTAAAATTGTAAAAAATACACAATATCATCGGGCATGTTAATGCACAGGTTAATATATAATCCAATTACTGCATAAATTACTTAAAAAACATAGCATACTTTCTGCAGTCACCCTACAAACACCCCAACTCTGTCTGTATCGCTAAAATTTCGTTAGGTGGAAAGTGGAAACTGTTTTGTCGTCACACATACAATTACAACAAAAAACAAGCCGCTAACAGGTGCACAGAAAATTCGACAAGATGTCGCCCAGCCGGAGAGCAAAAATGCGAAAGCGAAACAACGGCAGGAAAGTAAACAAACAAGCAGGAAGGCAAACAAATGTGCCGACGACCCGCTTTTAATGCTTTTCTTCTTTTCTTTTGGGGGGGAGGTTCGGCTCCTGCACTGGAAAAAACAAAGTATTTATTAAGATTTCTCAGCTCAGCCTTAACAATTACGAATTATATTTAATATTTATGATCCCTGATAATTATCAGCGACCAAGTAAATTAAGTTTTCGATTATAAATATATTAATTTCAACATATTTTCAAAATTTGTTCCAGTGTAGATACAAAACGCGCACTCAAATGTATGTGTTGCGACAGTGTGTTGGTTTTATAGCATTTTTGGTGGCGCACACTTATACACACAGCATCCCCCGATTCAGCACCGGAAGTGGCCGCCTGTCTGTATTTGTGGGGGTATAAAGGCTTTGGCCGACTTTTCACCCCTCCGGAAAACCTTAGTTTCCCCCCCTAAAACGCTGTTTTCCTTGCAATAACAATGAAATGGCGATTGCCTGTCATAAAAATGTCAAGTTTTGACACTCATAAAACCATCAAACAAGTCAAACGAACAGGATAGCAGGAAAATCAGCAGGACGAACGGCTGTCAACGTTTTTCGGTTTCGGTTTCGGTTCATCCTTGCGGCTGCCTAGGCACACTCACTAGGAGTGCTTCAGTGGCAGGCTCTCCATATTTCCACTTCCGTCCCCCCAAAAAGCGAACAGGCTTTATTTATGAGACGATGAGCTGGGTCTGTACACTCACACAAGAAGATAGCCTAAGGGAGGAACACCCCCAGTAGGGGGATGACAGGACATAGGACACAGCAGCCATTGCAAGGCTAACCCTTCTGTAATAAAAAGGAATTACTTTCTCATCCCCAACTGGGATTTCATGACCCCCACACCCTTAAATAAAAAATGCATCAGATTTTTGTTTTCTTACAGAAAATCAATTTGTCTTTTATTGATTCAGAAAAAGTTCAGTTTCATTTTTTTTTTTTCTTGTTTTTGGTTTTTGGATGACAGCATTTTTGCTCTTTAGGTTTTACTTTTTCTTACCAAAGAGACGTTTTCTTCTTGTTTTTACGTTTGTGTGTGTTCTTCGACTCCACCGTCCCTCGTCCACATTTAAATCTTTTGCTATGTTTTCGGTTTAATGCTTTCTGTCTCGCCTCGAGTCGGGGGGACCAGGACTTTCGTCCTGCCCTCGCTCGGCTGCCTCTAGCTTGATTCTCTCGCATTCTCTGTTCTGTTCTACACTGATCTATTCTCATTTCTTTTTTACTTACAATTAGATTTAATTTTTTTTTCATCATTTACTTTCTGTTTTTTCCTTTTTTTGGTTTTGGGTTTTTCTTGTTCAACTAGTCTTAAGCGAAATAAGCACAAAAGCTGCAAAATGTTTTGCTTAAACTAATTTTCCATCGTGACACGCTCTTGCTTTTTGTTTTATTTTGGGGTTTTAGCTTTCATCTCTTGATCTCCAATTCAGTTTTTAATGTATGATCTCTTGCATTCAAGTTGAGGGCACAAAAAGTACGCGTATAAATTTAAAAGTTTTAGCAAAGATTTCGCTTTTCCGCATTTTTTGTTTCTCGTCATTTCTCCGTTTTCTTTTTAGGTTTTAGGTTTTTCGTGTTCGTTTTTTAGCTTTTACTAGAGTTTTAAATACAATTCTTTCGCCTTATAAAAAATGCTTAAAAGCGTCACATTGATGCAAAAAATAATACCTTAAAAAATACACAGAGAGTTGAAAAGGATTCCTCATGCTTTCGATCGATCTTCCCTCAGTTTTGTGTCCTGGAGGATTTACAAAGAGAGATGTAGTTTTTCTTCTTCTGATTTATTTTTACCAGTTTGCGCATTTGCTTGCTTGATTTCTTTTTTTTTTTTGTCGTTTTTTGTTTTTATCATTGTTAATAAGAAAAATGAATAAAGTTCTTTAAAAGACTTTGATTTAAAACTTAAAAATAGCAACAAGCGAAATGTACATTACTCTCATTTAAGTATTTCTGTTTCTAAGTTTAATTAGCTGCTTGCATTTTACGCTTACTTAAAGTTAGTTTACGCCTTTGTCGTCGTGTTTTGTTCCTTTCCCTTCGGCATCGTCTCCATTCCCTCCATACCAAACTGTATTCCTTTTTTTTTATATTTTCCTTATTTACTTTTAAATTTAATGAGCTTGTTTTCCTTCATTCCGCCATCCTGTTTGTCCCTTCGATTTGCCTAGCGTTCATTCCTACTACTGGCTCCGCTTTTGCTTTCATTTTGTTTTTCGTTTTTTGTTTCCTTTGTTTATATTCTTGGTTTCGTCAAAAAAGTTTCAAAAAAATATATATTCATCATTTCCTTAAATTGGCTTAATTAAAAAATGTTTATTTATTCCTCCCGCTCGCAATCTCACACTCTGCTCTCTGCCCGCCCCTAAACAACGACTAAGACGACTAAGTTTGTCTCCTGCTGTTTGAAACACAATTCAATTTAGTAGAGTCAATAATTAATTTAATTTAAGAATTTGTTACTGCAAACTATTGGGTTTGGGGTGTGAGTAAGCTTAGACTGTTAATTCAAATAGCGAACATTCTACTACTAAGAAATCACATCGAATTGAAACGCAAAACGAAACGAGGTAAAAACACACACACTCAAAACGAAAGGTATTTTTTGAATTAGTTTTTTTGTTTTTTAGGTTTTTTATTGAAATTGTTTTGTTGTTTTTAGTTTTCAATTTTACGCACTAGACATTTTTTTGTTTGCATTTTAAAAATTACTTCAACACTTGCATCAAATTTAATCGATTCGCTCCTCAGGCGAGAGAGTTCTTCAATCAGGGGGCGAGAAACCCAAGCAATCTTGAATCTTGAATGGGGTCTCTGCGATTTTAAGACAAATAATAAATTAACTACTTAAAATTAGTTAAAAAACTAAAGTAAAACGCATTAAATTAAAACAAAATACAGACGCAAAACAAACGAGTTCCAAGTTTGGTTTCTTGTCAAAAGTAGATTTAAATACACACACAAAAAAGTCAGTATAGCTTTTAGATAAGAACACTCCTCGTCGGTTGATTTCTTTTTTTCTTTTCTTTTATTTATTGTTTACCCTCTCCAGCATCATCGTCCTTGCTTCCATCGTTATCATTTTCAAAAATTAAACCTAACCTCAAACGGTGCGATACGTTGACCAACACTGTCGGACAGAGGCGATCGTCGCCGTCTTCACGCTCTAACTACACAAAAACTACAACTTTCTACGTGTGTTGCACTCCAACTAACCAACTATTTTCGTCTCTCTTTTTCACTACCAACTAGAAATCATATGTCCTACTCGTCTCCGGTCTTTCTTACTACTTTTCTGCGGCACTGTCCTCCCAATCCGCGCCTTCTTGCGTTCTTTATCGCTTCTCAACACTGTACTTAGGTTCGCTAAACTTACGCACTAGGCTTTGATCTTATAAACTAGGTTCATTTCTTCTCGTCCTGCACTTCATTTCCATCTCTAAAACATAAATTTCATTTTCACTTTCCTAGGGTGCGCCTGCCTCAACACATTTCCTGCTCTCCGGCGCTTTATAAATTAACTTAGTGTTTAATGCTTTTCTCTCAATTTGCTTAAGTTGTTTGCTGCTAACAAAGTAAAATCATTGAAAACTACAGAAAGAAAATTGCACTTTGTGTGAGTTCGAGGGTGTAGTATGTGTGTGTTTGTGTGTGTGAGGATGGAAAGTCCTTTCAAACAATTTCTCCCAATGAGTTGTTTGTTGTATTTGTGATTCTTCTGGTTTTAGGACAACAAATGCAGGCATCGCTCGATTGATTTCTTCAAAAAATTTCGCTTCTCCTGTACTTTTATTTATTTTTTATAACATTTTTATACCCTTGCAGGGTATTATAATTTCAGTCAGAAGTTTGCAACGCAGTGAAGGAGACGTTTCCGACCCTATAAAGTATATATATTCTTGATCAGCATCAACAGCCGAGTCGATCTAGCCATGTCCGTCTGTCCGTCTGTCTGTCTGTCCGTCTGTCCGTCTGTCTGTCTGTCCGTCTGTCCGTCTGTCTGTCTGTCTGTTTCTACGCAAACTAGTCCCTCAGTTTTAAAGCTATCTGAATGAAACTTTGCATATAGTCTTCTATATGCTCTCACTGCTATATATGTCGGAACGGGCCGGATCGGACGACTATATCATATAGCTGCCATACAAATGTTTGATAAATTTTTAGAAAAAAAATTATAACTTTGCTGTTTTTCAACATATTTGCACTATTTTTTAAATATGACCATTTTATATTATTCCTGAATTTTGGTAAAAATTTTATGAATATCGGA